TTGGCTTTGACTAGGTTAGCTTGTTTGACATGACTATGCTCAAGCAATTACTGTGCCCAAGATTATTTGATATGATTGGCTAGAACCAAGTTATGGACAAATTCTGGAGCAGATGGTGAAGATGAGAGGGGACAGGTGATTCCACACTTGAAATATGGGTGATGTTGATGAAAGAAGGCAGGGATTAATGCTACAAAGTCAAAACAATGAAAATTTAATATAGCTGGTAATATAATCATTAATTTTAAGTCAGAATTCTTTATTATATTTAAACCATAGACATTGAAATACTACATTAAAATAAAATTATGTGTGTATTTCTTCTTTTAAATGATTTTCACCTACTTAGTTTTTTTTTTTTTTTTTTAATATTATTTGTTCCAGCTGTGCTATTGAGAAGTCGTATAATTTGGTGGTTAGGAATTCAGATCTAGGGCTGGTTTTTTTTGAAACTTTCTTAACCATCGTTTGTTTCTTTTTAATGTGGGAGTTTCTTTATCTATCTTACAGTGCAATGTTTGAAACACAATAGGAAGGCAAGAATATAAAAATTTTGTGATTTTTTACAAAAAATGTTAGATCGATAACCATATCACATTTTTATGAACAGTGTTACCAAAGCCCTATGTGGGTTTAGTTCTATGTATTTTGGATTTCTCATTAGGAAAATAATAATCCCTCAATATAATACCAAGATATTACAGTGCTATAAGTTAAGACATTGCCTTTGGATACCTAATATTTCTTTTAAATTCAGGGCGGAATTATTCTTTAAGTAAAATTGTCCCTTTAATTTTATAGCTTCACACAATAAATTTATAAACCATTGAATCTTTGAAATAAAGGACGCATAGAGTCATGTAATTTAGAACTCAGCAAATCTTTTGCTAAGAAGAACTACAGTGATCTGAGTATTTGAGCTTCAGAAAATGTAAGAGTGCCCATAAGAAAGAATATGTAAGAAAATGTATTTTTTAGAGTGTTATAATCAAGAAGTTAAAATGTGTGCCTAAAAAGGTAAATCACGGGATCCCTCTCACTCTTGCCTCTAAGAGGAGACCACGCTCTGTCTGTGTAATGTTACTCCTTATTCTAATAAACTTTCCTTTTGACTCTAAATAAATAAATAAATAAAAAGATAAATCATGGTATAAAGGCAACAGATGCTATTTATCCTATGTAAGGTATGATTGTTTAAAGTTAGGTCAGACTTATCAATATATCAGTATAAACTTATGAAAATAAACTCAGAATATGGATCTTAACAATACTATTTTATTAATATATCATTTTAGAATGGTTGAAATATTTTATAACTGAAATATTTTTATCTTGCCAACTTTTAGTCATAGTCTGGTGGTAAATAGTCTAATTTTGACAGTTTGTTTTAAGTATTCTCATGTATTTATCAGTTTTTAGACATTTTCCATAAGAAAAAAGTAGGAATTATAAATTTCTGTTAGGAATTTGCTAGAAAAAAAAGAAAGATTTTTGTTATCCAAAAAGTATACAATTTTCAGTTAATTTGATCATAAGCATAGAATGTTAGGATCAAAAATCTTCGAGCATAAGCTTTATAAATTTATAAAATCATAATATTAAAAATATGTCCACATATCCAGTTACACTTAGCATGTTACTCAAACCTCTACATTTCTCAAATAATAGTTATGTGCTAATGACTACTTCATGAAATGTACATAAAATCCAAACTCTGAAGAGAATGAAACTACTTCCATGATAGTTTTTGGGTTTTATTTTGTGCATTTATTAGAAATATGTTTGTTGAAATGCATATACTCTGTCAGTGCATACCATTATAAATTTATAACCATAAAAGTGAATGTAAGAGAGAGAAATTATTCAATTACTTCTTTGTTCATTTCCATGTTTTTATTTTGTTTTATGTAGATAGACCTAAACTTTGTAAAGGATTTCATTTATTATTTCATTTGTGGAAATGATGCATTAACTAAACATGCTGTCATTCACTCCAGGTTCAAGGCCTCCTTGTATTGCTTCATTTTGCTGGCATCAAGAAGGGTTATTGAGCTGCTTCTGAGAGAGTGCAGATGCAGTCATTTAGTACAAAATGTCATATTTTTAAGAATGGTGAAAGCTAACCTATTTTATTCTTAGATGGTACTTAAGAACACACATTTAAAATTCTGTCTGCTCTTTTTCTTTAGTTTCATTTGAATGAATAGTGCATATTACATTTGGAAAAGTTTAAGTAGTGTCTAATGTTATCTATAAAGTTGTTACACAATTTCTGTAGCTGTGCAGGAGACACATCAAAGAATCCTCTTATCAGCTAATCTTCAACTCTTTTACAAATTTCAGGGGAGCGTATTTAT